ACTCTCCAACCTCTTCTCTTCCTTATTTTTATTGTTGACACTATCACACATGTTCCCATTCCCCTCCCCTGTGTCCCCCTCCACCCAGCTCCCGCCCCCCTTCCCTCTGTCCATCACCACACGTTGATCGTGTCCATGGTATGTTCTCTGGCTAATCCCTTAGCCTTATATATTTCTCGGTGATCATTAGTCCAAACCCACTCATGGATTTCTGCATCATACCAGAGCCCAAAAGCCATGCTCAAGAAACGGTTGGGAAGAGTAAAAGCAAATACAATTTAAATTCCATTTTTGACCTATTTTCAATGTCTCTGAACTTGGAAATGTATTACATTTTATTACTGGACAAAATCCTTGCATTTATCCCCATTTCCTCTTACCTCCCTCCATCCCCCACCGCCACCCCACACAAACATAAAGGGCCTGTGACTTTAAAAGTCTGCATGTGCCTGCTCAAAGATACAGACAGATATTATTTCTCCAAGAGAAGAATGAGCCGCAGATCTCACACCTCCTCGCCCCCATTTGGTCAGGGCACAGAGGTGGCAGCGAGGATCCCACAGGAAGCTGGAAGCGGACGTTAGGGCCTGGATTCCAGGTCACACGTGGGCCCTGGAGGTAGGGATCGCTGCTTGATTATTACAGCAAGTGGTAGCACTGAAGCACAGTCAGGGACTCGCAGGACCAATAGCCATCTTAGAAATCATTTCCATGGGAAACCATCATCGAGGTTTCTACGTTTTAAAAAAGCGGATTATCGGTGACAACAGCAGGACAGTGGCACCGCTCCACATACAGAGAAAGACGGAAGGACCCCACTGTGGCCTCTGGTGGAGGAAGGCTATGGGGACTCGGGCTATGGGACAACAGGCAAGCTGTGCAAGCTCATGGGGCTCAGCTTCCTCCTCATACGGACTTGTGACAACTGAGTCAATATCACGTAACGTGCAGCCCAGGGGAGCTCAAGTAAGGCCACATCACGCCAGTGTTTTCATGAAGTGTCCATGTTTTTCTAAAACATTTCTCTATTCCTTTTACTGCCCAGAACAGTTATTTACATAAAACGATTATGCAGGGCATTTCACTAACCAAGAACAGAAATACACTCAAAACTCTCCCAAAATGAGCCTCTTCTCTCAGAACTCTAAGAAGGGGAGGTTCTTCAGATTCATGAGGCGGAAAATGTAGTGACTCAACCCAGATGGAAATGTATTCTAGTCCATTAACAGATATTTCACAAAGTCAGAAACATAACTAGTAAGCAGAGGTATTGGGAAAACATTCAATTTCTTTAGATAATAAAAAAAAAATTAAACTTAAACTATAGAACTGTTTTCAACTATCAAATGACCCATAAACATATTTTTTTAAGATATTGGCGAATGCTGCCAAGACTGAAAGACAGCCAGAGTTCTCAGCTGGTGCCAGGGAAGAGCACGCCGGTGCCAGCCCTCAGCAGAGCACGTGGGCGGTCCGGGATCCAGAGCCAGGAAAAGCCTCTGTCCCTCAACCCCGTCATTTCATTTCTGAGAACCTAGACTAAGAGAATTTCTCAAAGCAGGGGCAAGTCACGTCCACCCTCAGGACATGAACACCGTCTCTAATAGTGAAACACTACAACCAGACAAACGCTGAAATAAGGAGTAAATAAACTACATGACACCCAAGGGAATGGACTACTTAAGCATTACAAACGATACAGAAAAAATCATCGTATCATCATGTGTACCTCTGATGAGTACAGCTGAATGACAACTTCTAAGATGCTGGTGGAGTTCTGTTAGAGGACCCACTCTGTGTGGCCCTGTTGTCTTTAACCTCCCCATCCCCACAATTTCACCAATAGATGATTTTATTCCCTTTATGATAAGGTTTCTCCCTGTCTCATGACAATCTTTCCTCTGCTGAGCTCACTGCCTCATAGCCCACCATGACATCCTGCTCTACGCCCTTCTCTCACCCTTTGAAAAGGGCAAGGACTCTTGTTTGAGTGTATTATCTTCTAAAGGCCAAAGCTACTTCATTGGGCACTTGAGGCAATCACCTCTCCCCGGAGAGGCTACCGGCCGCCTTCACGCTCCTCCCTGTGAGTACCAAGTTGCTCCAAAGAATCAGAGAAAGGGTTTGCAGCTTCTGAGCAAGACATGGAAGGAAGTGGCACGAATGGTAAGTGGGCCAGTTGGTAGCCTGGAGACCTCAGCTCCGCCCTCCTGGCTCTGTCCTCTGCGTATGTAAAACTTCCTCCGTTGGCCCTAAACCTTTTGATCAGCAGAAGTAAAAAAAGCAAGAGACTTAAACCCCCGACAATAGCGGATGGTTAGCTTGCAGTGCATCTACTTGATGGAATAATAGGCAAGCTCACAAAACAACAATTACGAATGCCAACTATGCTAATGTGGCCAAGGGCCTCCAATGTGAAGAAGAATGGTTACTCAATCGTGCGTTCCCATGACGACGACCGGATAAAACCGTTTGTGCAGACTGACCAGTAACAGTTGTTGCCTACCAGGCACTATGCCGCCGTGTGGTTAACATGCATTCAAACTTCCCAACAATGCCCTTAGAAGCCTTATTCTCATTTTGGAGAGGAGGGAACTGAAGCACCAGGAATTCTCATTTGATCCTCCCAATGGCTACGATTTAGAACATTCTGGTAACTTTCCTAAGACCACAGAGCAGGGAGGAGAGGTGTGGGAGAAGGGGCTGGGATTGGACACTATCTTTCTCCAGTGCCCACACTGTCGACTGACTCTCGGACTGTAAGGCAATATGTCAGAAATTTAAAATGCAAGCATTTGTTTTTTAAAAGGCTTCTTTTCCTTCCCTCTATTGTCTACACTAACTTTCTAGTGTTCTTCTGTTTTTATTTAAAGACCAAAAAATAAAGGGGGGGGGGGGCAACAGAGGAAAGGGCTTTTTTTTAACACATGTGTTTGTGTGTATGGTTTTTAAAATTATGTTTTGATCAAAAGACTAAATAAATGTCAATCAAGTCTCCACTTGGGGGTTAAGGGTAGGAAATGAGGAAAAAAGGATGGAGAACCGCCAAGACGAGCCTGTTCCAAACCAAACCGAACAGCGCCAGGCAGCTGCCCGCACCATCATTTTTTTCTATCGTCTCTTTCCACCGCCCCTTCCAGTCTGCGCATGGATCCTGCAATCACGGCCCTGGGCTGACGGAGGACACGGAATGTCACAGCGGACGCTGGTATCACAGAGAGCTACTGACAAAGCTGCGAATAAAACAGATCTCAACCCCTAGTCCTGCATTCTTCCACAAACTCATCCTGTGCCGAACTTCCCCTCAGCCAGGGACAGCCTGCATGTCCTGGAGGTTCAAATACACACCACGTCCTAAAGTGGCCAGTGGCCACATCTGTGCAGCCTTAATAATGCTCCGAGCTGGACAGATCGTGGCGTTCACACATTCTATGTCATGTGAATGCAAATGACGAACGTTACATTTCTAGCAATGTCGAAACCACGCTAGAAACTAGAGAAGGCTGAGAGACACGATACTTGTTTAAGAAACTGCAAAAATAAAAATGCAGCATGTACAGTGGTCTATTCAGGAAAAACCATACGCAACAAACAAAATGAAATCCTCCCCACAAAAAAAAAAAACATACTGCCGATCCAGCCCCCAAAAGGTCTGCAGAGCAGGGGCCGGCAGCCAGAATACTGGACCCTCATCTGGGTGAGGGGCATCTCGGAGCGGGCAGCTTGCCCTCGGAAACACATCATGTGGCGGGTGGTTGCTGACTGGCTCCAGAGGTGGACTCCACACCCAGTGCTCCTTCCCGGGGGTCAACGGCCTTGGCCTCAAACCCCGGTACTAGCGATGTTCAAAGTCCCCTGATCAGCCGCTCCTTGGCCACTTGCTCAGCTGGCTTCCAGAGAGACAGCAGCCTCGGAGTCACACATAGTCCGCCTGGCAGAGGCCCACTGCCCGAAGCCCAGGAAAGAGCCAAGAACCCCTGTCCAGCGGTGTGGACGCCAGGCAGCCACCCCCTGGACAACCTGGAGGCCGGCACTCGGGGGTGTGCTTCCCACCCGGCAGGGTGTCCTGACCCAGCTCACACGGCAGCACCACACTGTGCGGAAGAAGAGGAATACACGCTCCGGGGCAGGGAGTGTGATCCCTGGACACCTGGCGCCCCTCCACGCACATCCCAGGTGTCTCCTTTTTCATAGATGTGCCCCCCCCCCACCAACCTGAATCTCACGCCTATTTCAGGGGCACTACACGGGGAGGGTCAGATACCCTCGGTCAGTGATGGCGAACCTATGACACTCATTTTTTTGGTTGATTTTTCTTTGTTAAATGGCATTTAAATATATAAAATAAATATCAAAAATGTAAGTCTTCGTTTTACTATGGTTGCAAATATAAAAAAATTTCTATATGTGACACGGCACCAGAGTTAAGTTAGGGTTTTTCAAAATGCTAACATGCCGAGCTCAAAAGGTTCGCCATCACTGCCCTAGGTCCTGGTGGTGCCCAGTTGAAGGATGATGCCCACCCTTCTCGGCCGAGGAAAAGGCAAATGACTATCTAGTCAATACCAGCTCCGTGCTGGACACTTGGCGCAGTGCCTCTCACTTAATTGTCAAGGACACTCTACAATGTACAAGATGTGTGAATCAGCCTGGGCCTGGGGTCAGGCAGCCTGGGTGCAAATCCAGGTCCGCTGCTTGCTGGTGGGTGGATCCTGAGGCTCCATAACCTGTAGGTCTCAGATTCCTGCTGTGTAAAGCGAAGGCCACGACAGTCCCCCAGGATGGGGGTTAGGAGAGCTCTCCCAGCGCTGTGGCTCCGTCGCCACCAAGGCCCCTGTTTCTGCACTGAGACAGGTGGAGAGGACGGGACTGCTGGCCAGAGGCCCAGGCCCACCCACCCCAGGGAGCAAAGAGAGCCTATGGGAACTCACCAGATCGGGACCTCCTCCCTCTACCCCAGGATCCCCCCCACCCACTTCCCCGCAGGGCCCGGCACTCACGACACTCCTTCTCGTCGCTCTTGTCGAAGCAGTCGGGCAGCCCGTCGCACTGCCAGGCGCCCGGGATGCACCGGCCGTTGCTGCACATGAAGTTGCCCGGAATGTTGCACTCGTTGGTGAAATTGTTCCCGGGGAGCAGCTGGCTCTCTGTGGGAGAGAGGGGACAGGGCCATCAGACGGCACGGCGAAGGCGGCAAGGACCTGAGCCCACCCCAACCGAAGGGGGCTCCTGCTTGGTGTGGGCTGGATAGGTGAGACCTCTCTGGGTCTCAGTTTCCTCATCTGTGAAATGGACGGATAAAGTCCCCTGCCCCACCCCTGGGGATTCTGAGAGGACTAAATGGGGAAAAACTGAGAAGTCGGGGGGGGGGGGGGCAGGGGCAGGTGTCTGACGCACGTTAGGCGCTCACTGACTTGTCTTCTTTTCCCATAAAAAAGGCTGGCTGTAAAATACACGCATTCTTTCCTGGCCACCAGCAGTGACCAAAGCTGAAGGTTCCCGGACAGGAGTGAGCACTGGACCCCCAAAGCCTCCAACAGCAGGAACTGTCGGCCTCTGCCAGGTCTCAGACTCTGGGACTCTACAATCGCAGAATCCTTGAACTTGGGCCAAGTCAACAGGGATATTGGCAGATAAATTCACTTTAGAACATGGGGGCCCCAGCCCACAAAATCGACCTGCCTGAGGTCAACGAGGAGAAAAAGCCAAACTGAAAGCTACACGAAGGCCTCTAACCCCCAAGGTCACTGAACTGCTGGCCAAGCGTTCCTGGAGGTTTAGAGCCAAGCCCCGAGGTTTGGATGCAACTCCACTGAACAGAGTCACAGAGTGCCACGGCCCTCACCCCAAAGCGCTCCCCCTAAAGCTAGAAAGCAAGCAGGGCATGGGGGGTGGGGGGTGGAGGGTGCTGCACTCATCCACCAATGGACTCGGGATGGGTGATTTTTTTCAAGGGAACTAGAATGGAACCCATCTGACAGGCCTGAGCCAGCGTGATCCATGGCTGGGAGAGAAGGAGCCGTCTGGAAGGAACAGGGTCTTAAGGGAAAAGAAGACCCATCCTCCCAGGGCTCCCTCCTGAGTCGTCAATGAGCATTTATTGAACGTGTCTGACCAGACACTTGTGCTAGGTCCTAAAGGTGCAGAGAGATGAAGCCTAGGGCTGGAAGGGCACATGGGGATACTAACGATCTTATTGCCAAGGACTCTGAGGGGTGCCCACACCTGCCTGAGGGTAACGGAGGGCCCATGAGCCTCTTTCACATGCTTTGCCAAAGAGAAGCCTTGCATTCCAGACCCGTGACATCACATCTTTCATGCCGCTATTCTTGACAAGCACTATTGTTTTTACCTGGCGTGCCTTTCGACCTGAGGGGTCCCCTAGCACCCCCCTACGCACCCGTCAGCACACAACGTGTGCTGCTCTCCCTCTGAGTGTCCCCTGACTTCTCCAAGCAGAAACGAGCTCTTATTCTTCTGGGTGACGATGGTTCTACTGGGCTGATATTAAACACATCTGACAACTGGAACAAGTAGGCAACAACCCATTGGAATGACACAGCCACAGGCGAGCAGAGCCACATCAGCCCCAGGACCGTGGATACTTCCACAGACCAGCTGCCCCGTGCGGGTGAATTAATAATGGACAGGCATGTCTCTCCACTAAACACGAGCGTTCAGAGCTCGCTGAAGAATTCCAGAAGAGCAGCTGCAGCGAGGGGCCTCCCTCTGCCCCGACTACCCACACCCGAACCCTAACAACCCTCCACATCCCCTCCTTACTCTGTCATCCCCTATGACGGCCAAGCACCAAGTCCCGCACGCTGGTCTCCATGGCCACAGACATGACTCCAGCCCAGGACACCTCATCTCTCACTGGAGTTACTGCCACAATCTCCTAAAACTCGGCCTCCCGGTCACCCCTTCGGCTCCTCTCTGTGGCCAGAGGGACCTTTCTAAAGAGCAAGTCAATCATGATCCTTCCTTACTTTAAAAAGCCACTGAATGGTTCCCCACTGTTCTTAAGATAAAGTCAAAATCCCAGGCTCTAAGAAAGGTTGGAGGAGAGAGGCGGCATTGCAGTGGCTGCTGAGAGATACAGAGATGGAAGCTAGGGGCCCCTCGGGCCGAGAGACAGACAGCAAAGACACAGTGCGGAGAGCTCTGAAGGGAATGGAGCAAAAAACGAGCAGTGACTGTGGGAACTGCAAACAGATTGTGCCACTATGGCCCTCTTCCACCAGCAAGTCAGACATCGCTCATCACGGCACTCCGTCCACTGAGCCCACGCTCACTATCGGATTCCTCTCGAGACAGGAATCCTCGAAAACCACCCCCCACCCCGAGAAGAACGTGAAACCAGTTTCCTGTCTCCAGGCAAGGGCTCCAGGTGGCGGAGGGGGACCCACAGGAGAGGAGCCTAGAAGGACAGCCAGGTGCTGGGTCCCGGCCAGACATGGAAGATACAACCCAGAAAGCCCCACATGTTCCAGCTGTTTCCCAACCACTGCTCAAGCCCCACCAACAGGTAGGAAATTCTTCAGGGCTCTGAATGTAACTGTCATGCTGTTTTGTTAGAAATACCTCCCCTTGCTTTTGCAGCGCTAGCTCCTCCGAGGCAAGCAGCCTGAGAAGTCGCTGCAATGGTGAAATCTTGTTCTGATAAACAGGTTTCCGGAGGCAGAAAATTGGCCAGATTAGATTCCAAAGTGCTTGCTCTGAGAGTCAACAGGCTGGCAGCACACGGATTTGACAAATGAAAGGGTGTGATACAGGGACGTAAATACCACGTCTGTCAAACACAGTTGGCCCTGACAGCCACAGGGCTCAGGGCTCACGCACAGGTGGCCCTGCAGCCACAGGGTTCAGGGCTCATGCACAGGTGGCCCTGCAGCCACAGAGCTCAGGGCTCAGGCACAGGTGTCCCTGCAATCACAGAGCTGAGGGCTCATGCACAGTTGGCCCTGCAGCCACAGGGCTCATGCACAGATGGCCCTGCAATCACAGGGCTCAGGGCTCCTGCACAGGTGGCCCTCCAGCAAGGGCTCAGAGCTCTGCAGGCTGACCAGGGATCCCCAGGGCCTGGCGACTGACAACATAGAGGACCATGCTTCGAGGGCTTCTGAATAACTCTATTATGCATGCAGGGGGCATAGATCCTTGCACTTTAGGGAAATGACAATATCGTCAAAATCAAAAGCATCAGGAGAAACCAAGACAATGAGAGGTTAAATCCCATTGATTCTGTCCTCAAAAATCTTCCTCAAACCCACCCAGTGTGCCTCACCCAGATGGTACCAGCCAATCCAAGCTGCCAGTGGTTCCCAACACAGGACAATTTTGCCCCTGAGAGGACAGAGGGCAGAATCTGGAGACTTCGGGGTTTTGGTGTCTAGTGGGTTGAGTCCAGGAATGCTGCCGCCCATCTGCAATGCACAGGGCAGCCCCTCGTAGCAAAGAATCGCCAGCCCAGAATGCCAATGAGGCCAGGGCTGAGAAATCCCAGCTTATACCCACCTCCCAGCGATCACTTCTCAGGGTCCCAGACCCTTCTCCTCGGAGCAGAGGGAGATTTTAACCTGCTGCTGATGGCTTCTCGGTGCCCTCACAATACATCTGGAGCTCCCGCCACGGTTGACAAGACCCCGTGGGATCCAGCCCAGCCTCCCTCTGAACCTCATTCCCAACCACTTCCTGGAACACAAATGTCCTTCCTGCAGGGAGGCCTCCGCCCGTGCTGCTCTCGGACCTCGGTTCTTCCACCCCCCTTCCCCTTCCCCAGTGTTCGGGGCTCAATTGCTTCCTCCCCAAATCCATATGTTGAAGCCCTGACCCCCAGTCCCTCGGAATGTGACTCAATTCAGAGACAGGGCCTTTAAAGAGGTGGCTAAGGTAAAATGAGGCCGTGAGGGCGGGCCCTCACCCAATCTGACTGGCGTCTTTCTACAAAGAGGAGATTAGGACACAGACGGCCCTGGGGAATGACCATGTGAGGACGCAGGGAGAAGACGGCCAGTTGCAAGCCGAGGACACAGGCCTCCAACGAACCCAACTCTGCCCACTTTGATCTTAGACTTCTGCCTTCCAGGACGGGGAGAAGGTACATTTCTAGCATGTAAACCAGGGGTGGGGAGCCTTTTTTCTGCCCAGGGCCACTTGGATATTGATAACATCATTCACAGGCCATACACAATTATCAACTTAAAAATGAGCCTGCTCTATTTGGTCAAACATTTAATGAACTCACCCCTAATGCCTTGGCAGGGCCTGACCAAATGATTTTGTGGGCCTTACACAGCCCTCGGGGCCGGATGGTACCCACCCCTGAATGGTAACCATCCACTCCGGGGTACTTTGTTATGGCAGCCCTAGCAAACTAATACATTTGACTAACGCCACTCAGTCTTTCGACAACAGCCTTATGTCACTCATTCTGAGATTGTGTTGACCCAATGGAAAGCTGGTCCCACTTTCCAGTTGGGTATTGTCCCCCGTTTTCCTTTATCTCAGCCTGCGCTGACTGATGTGTCTGTACCATCTCCCCACGGAATGGCACACCCAGGAAGGCATGGCCCACCGCCTCGTCCAGCTAAACATCCTTTACATCTAGTGCTCGGTGGATCCTCAAAGAATATGTGTGGCCGCTCCAAGAAGAAAACCAAGCATAGTTACTGACTCACCCCCACCCCCAGACTCCTCCTTGGAACGTTCTAATCTAGCCTCATCCCTCATCCCTCCCGAAGGTGAGTGGGATCTGTACACGTATAGTTAAAAATAAGGCACATGAGGTGCAAGTAAATTACCACCCTGTCTGCTTTAAAAGGGGTGAGAAATCTTTTCCCCCCGGCAGCAGGACTTTCTAGTGGCTGAAATATTTATCCCATCTCAGTGTCTGGGGACACATTCAGAATCCAAAAAGACAAGCATCAGGAGAAGTAGGCTAGCGGGGGTTTCTCCTCCTCCCTTTCCCTTTTTTCATTAAGCTGAAAAATGAAAAAGAGTTGCCCATGTTCACTGCAGCACATCACTTACTTAAAATAACTACACCTTCTCTCCAAGAATGACAAAAAAAAAATCCCCAGTCCTCCCCCACTGGGCAGAGGCAAACAGCCCACTGCAGCAGCATCTACCAAAATTTCTGGCACCCACAAATTTATATCCGATGATGAGGGGGCCAACCTGGGGCAACTGTGAATACTCAGACAGCTGCTGTGTTAGCAATGTCGACTTTCCCAGCTGAGAAATGGGAATTCCCCGGGAGCAGCTGCAGTCCATCCCGTTCTCTGCTCTCCCCTGCTCATCGGCCGCCCCTTGGGGCCATCCCTTGTTATGATGCCTTAGAGAACTGACATCTACAAATCTTCCATGGGCCCCGAGTTCAGATTTCTGCCCAGTCACCTCTGTTTTGATCCTCTGCTTCCTGACAATCAGGTCTGCAGGCTCCATGAACAACAAAGCAAGACACACAAACATATGCGCCGACACACAGACGGCCTAGCATTCCATTTAGCAGATCTCAAAAAATCTCTTCCCTAAAACCTCTCCGGAGAATGAACACACCTCTTCCCACTGCCTGGTGCCAACAAACACAGTGTCAGGAGGCCACTGAAAACAGCCATCTGTGTTCTCCTTGACTCACTTCTCCACACAACACACACGCCCCGTGCACGGGCACAGGGAAAGCACCCAGGGGGCTGATCGGCAACCGTGTGTTTGCAAACATCCCTGGGAAACCCCTGAAGGTCCTTTCAACTCCAGACGGCTCCGCATGGTGGCATCCGTGTCGGATGGAGGGAGAGACATCTGTCCCCAGCATATCCCAGAGCCATTTGGTTCTCATCAAACAGACTGCTTCCTGCCGGCATCCTGCTATGCGGAGCGCTCGCCGCCACCAAGAAGGGAGCAGTCACGTGTGCATGTCTGAGCCCGAAGTGAGGATGTGCTTCTGGCTCCAAGTACCTGAGCAGAGCCAGGACTCCAGCTCTGTCTAGACTGTACACCGCCCTGCCTGTGAGCTCCTTCCAGCAGCCCCAGCCTCCCCTCACCCATCTGCTCAAGGAGGAGATTGTTGAGAAGGTATAACATGGCTCGTGGGTTCAGCCCAGGACTAGTGACCCTAGGCACTGACAGATTTCATCTTGACACCGACCGGGAAGGACGATTGTGTGTAATGTTACTGCAGGGACATGTATGGGTGGTGTGGGTCACCTGGACAGTGAGTGGGCCCAGCTGTTTGCCCAGCATCTGCACTTCACACAGCTCTCTTCTTTGCTTCTCCCATGCGGTGATCAAATGATAAATGCTCACAAAATGATAAATGCTCCGTTTCCTTCTGAAAACGAGTCAGCAAAGGAAGCCAATGGCTAGTATTAATGAGAAAAGCACAGAGAAAGTGAAAAGGTCTGAAAAGGACAGTTCTTTACCAGGAAAAAGCTCCATAAATTATCTCTGTCCTGTATTTACAGCCTCATTACGGGCCCGAAGCTGTTACTCGCATTGTTTAGTTATGCTTCATCACGTTTCACGAGGAAAATTATGTCGGAGCAGCATTAACGCCGTGGGGACCTGCAGGGCCATGGTCCGCGGCTCAGGGGCTGGAGAGCCACTGGGGAGGATGCTGAGCCTCAAAGGGGAGCACTGAGCCCCGCCCACCCTTCTGCTCCCTTCTCACAGCCTTTGAGAAACCAATCATTATGGACTTTCCACTAGGGAAGATCTAACGTCTGCTGAAGCTCTTAACACACGGCAGGAGTTTAACATCAATTCTCTTTATATTCCTTCATAGTTGCTATGAACTAGGCACCATGCCCATTGTGCAGACGAGGAAACAGCCTGAAGAAGTAAGAGGACACACTGAAGACATGACATAGTTACTCATATAAAGAGAGAAAACAATATTGCACAACATTTTTAGTGATGAAATTCAAAATATAACAATTGAGGACAATTTCCTGTGATACAGGTCTACTAAGGAAAAGAATGAAATCCTTTGTAAGGGGGGACAGGATAGGCAACATTTCACTTGATGAAGGTTCAAAGTTAGTGCTCCCTATCAGCAAACTCTATTGTAAAGTTTGCCTTTTTGTTAACCATTTAAAAGTGTTTAAAGTATTCTTAGGTTGGAGCCATGGGCCATAGTTTTCCGACTCCTGGGCTAGAAGAGGGCAGGTCCACCTGACATAACAAGGTGCCGATCCAAAGGCACTTCCTCTCTGTCCTACCACACCCACCACTCTCTGAAACAATCCCTGGGGCTCAGTGGCTGTTCCCCCACCACAGAGACAGGGACCTTGGCCGTTCCGTTCACCGCTGTGTCCTCAACAACCAGCAAGTGCCAGGCCCCCAGCAGACGCGCGGTAAATGCTTGCTGACTGAATGAGGTGGGAACAGAGCCTGATGGCTCCTGAGAGTGTGGCCCCTCCAGCACGACACTCTCAAGTTCTGTGAACGGATCTAAACGCTGCCTGAATCCATTTCCACAATGAATGGGGCAGTGGGCCTGGGTCTGCAGAGCACTCCTGAGCTCCTGGGAGGGAAGAACAGAAGAGAAGAAGTCTGGATGAACGTTTCTGAGTTCTCCTCTTCCCACACACCCTGTCCTCACCAGGGCCAGCTGCACGTCAGGCCCGGGTGGGAGCCTGGAGCAGAAGCTGTCCCCCGCGTGTTCTCTCTTCAGCTTCACTCAGCAGCAGCAGCAGGAAGTGAGAATCAGGCCGTGAGGCTAGCTGACGAGGACAACCTTATGACGAATTTCATCAGGCTTGCAGATAAGCCAGGCTCAAGAGAGAGCCAATCAGCCCTGCACTTCAGCGCCTCTCAGAGACAGCCACCGGGTCAGGAAGTAAGACTCAGCTCCCACCCAAGTTCAGCCCAGCCCCGTCTGCCCAGGGACGGCTGTCACAATTCTCACAGTCTCTCACTGCAAACCGTTCTCCGCCTGCACTCTGCTGCACAGAGACACCCTCACAGGGCAAGTATGAAAAATACCAGAGCAAATCAAAGAATGAGGACAGAAAAACCGAATGAGCTTCATTTAGGCCCCAAAGCATATCTTCCTGAGCTCAGGGCTAAGGATTTCTGGAATAAGGCTCAAAAAAAAAGCACAGGCCATAAAGACTGATAAATACAACCCATGCATTAAAATGTAAAACTCCCAGTCATCAAAAGACACTACAAAGGTCAAAGATAAGCCACTAACTAGAAGATGGTATCTGCTACGTATAGAACCCACAAAGAGTGACACCTAGCATTTTCTTTCTTTCTGATTTTGTTTGTTGGTTTGTTTCTACGAAGAGAGAGAGAGAAAAGAGCGAAACATCAAGATAAGAGCATAACATCGACTGGCTGCCTCCTGCACGAGGCAGCAACCTTTGGGTGCATGGGATGATGCCCAAGCAACTGAGCCACACTGGCCAGGGCTCTAGGATTTTCTCACAAGACTAGGCAAGAAAACACAGCTAACCCAGTGGAAAACTGGACAGAGTGCATGAGCAGGTATTCTCACTGAAGAGCAAACTCAAAGAGCCACTTAATATACATACACTCAAGCTCACCTACAATCAAAGAATGATTAATGCAACTGGCAGTTCTCTTTCACACCCATCACACTTACAAAATTCTGAAGTGCGGCCACCTCAAATGGCAAGATGGTGGGGAGCCACAGGAATCACATGTGCCCCCCCGTGGTAGAGGAACTCAAGAGCCGTTTGGCCCTAGCCGGTGTGGCTCAGTGGATAGAGTGTCAGCCTGCGGACTGAAGGGTCCCAGGTTCGATTCCAGTCAAGGGCACATGCCTGGGTTGCGGGCTCCATCTGCAGGAGGGGGCATGCAGGAGGCAGCCCATCGATGAATCTCTCATCATCGATGTTTCTCTCTCTCTCTCTCCCTCTCCCTTCCTTTCTGAAATCAATACAAATACATAAAAAAAAAAAAAGAGGGCAGTTTGGCAATTCCTAGTGCAGCTGAAGATGCAAATGCCCTTTGACCCGGCCAGCCCATCACACCCTAGGCCTGAGGGGAAACGTGCACAGACAAGACAGAGAACATTCACAGCGGTACTACTGCAACACGAAACTGCAAGACACACTAAATGCTCACCAAAAGGAGAACGGATGAAAACTCGGGGTACGCCCACACAATGGAATATCACCCACCCAGAGCTTCAACTTACTGACCGGGGGCGGCATGAAGCGGCAGGGGAAAATCTGAGAAGCCTTGAGCTTAGTAAAAATGCAAACTGTGGAGGCGCAAGTCAATGGATGCCAACGGCTGTAAACGTAGTTATGAAAACGTGGGAAAGAAAGACACCCAACTCAGGAGAGTGGTTACCCGCTGGCAAATGGGATCAGAGGTACACAATGAACTTCAACTGGAAGAATTACTTCTTCAAAACCATCTCAAGGGAGCATGACAACTTGGTAGAATTCAATGGAGCTGCGTGGAAGGCAGGCAGGCATGCTTTCTTTGTGTGACTCTTGGTACTTTTCTCCATCCTTCAAAAAATGTTTCATTAGTAAAAGTTTATTATAAAGAACGAAAATCATGCTAGCATTTGAGAGAAAAATCTACGACAGGCATACGGAACCTTTCACCACTAATATTCCAGCTTCAAAATCCCCATCAGCTATGAAAGAGTGGGAGATAAAAGGGGGCAAGTGTTCACACTGGGATTAAAAGAAAGCACAGGCGAGGACACCCACCTGGGAGATTCGGTCTATTATGAACTCTTTCCATTTTCCGAAAGGCAGCAACAGTTGCAGAGCAGCCGCGGATCGTGGAGGGAAAAAATAAACACATCTCACAAGACAGACTTACCCACCCAACCTATTAAGCCATGACATTCCAAAAATAAAAATAGCCAGGCCCAGCCAAAAGGTCAGATATTTTTTAAATCCTAACTCCCCGAGACAGCAGGGTGGGAAGAGCTGCAGTAAAGCTCTCTTTCTCAGAATAGTCCACGCCGTCCGCCTCCTCGGCCCTCAGCATGGGCCTGCAGGAGGCTGAGCAAAGATAGCCTCGCTGCGGCAGCCAAGGCTGGGATCTGGCCCGCCCAGTCACAAATGCTAAATGCCTGATGCTCTTATCACTATAACCGGCTGTGTGACTTTAGACAAGTAAGTCACCCGCTCTGAGCTAAAACTCTCCAGTTGTAAAACTAGGTAGCCCTACCTCCCAGACGGGGTGGCTGAAGTACAGAGGAATATGTCTGTCTATAACAGACAGAGGAATAAACCAAATAGAATAGGTGGCATATACTTGGGGTTCAATAAATAGTACTGGGATTTGTGATTCCTTCCTTCCCTACTCGAATTTTTCCTGACTCTCCTCATAATGCTGGTATTGCCAGTGGTACTCAGACAAGGCTGGGCACCTTTCCCTCCCGGCCGCTGTAGGAAGGGTGCAGCCTGGGTAGATGGGAAGCCTGCTGGGATTGGGGCTGGCTGGCTGAGCCCCCTGGTCACCTAGGTCCATGGGGATAGACACCAGGTATTTTGTTGTTGTTTTTGAAAATACATATTTTTTTTATTGATTTCAGAGAAGGGAGAGATAGGAACATCAATGAGAGAGAATCATTGATCTGCTGCCTCCTGCACACCCCACACTGGGATTGAGCCTGCAACATGTACCGACTGGGAACTGAACCATGACCTCCTGGTTCACAGGTCAATGTTCAACCACTGAGCCATACTGGCCGGGCGACACCAGGTTTTAAGAAGCTCATAACGTGAATCTGGTTGTGTGTCTTCTAATACAACAGTGTCAGTTTGAATATTCCTAATAAGTAGCCCTGCTTGGACCATTCCTCGGGCTCTTTAACAGCAGTCAAACTGTTAACATGAACCCACCCTCCAAACAAGGAGGTGATGAAGCAGGTCCAAGAGAAAGGCACATGGGATCCCCCACTGTGATCTGGGGTAGTCTCTCACCTCCCTGGCCTCAGTTTCCGCTTGTGTAACCGAGGACAGCAATAGATGACACCCAAGCTCCTTTCCAGACCTTCTTGTTGGTGGGGACATAGACCAGTTCTCATGGCAGGCAGGCACTCACCAGCTGCCCCTTCTAGACGCATTCTTCAGATTTAAACATAATGCCAGGATTTACACAGAGCTCCTCCTCTAAAGAACCAAAATCATCCCTGCAAGGCAGGCACTAAAGGCAGTCCCCCTTTTCTGAATACAGAGTGACTAAGACCCACAGAGCGACCAGCCTGGCCCAAGGTAGGGCTGGAGCTGGCCCGAGAGCCAGGAGTCAGCCCCGGTGACACAGTTCTTGCCTCTGTGCCTCAGAACTCTGACCCCCCTGCCTGCCGCCCCCCGGGAATGGCGGGTGCACACCCCC